GGTAGCCTTTCGTTTGCTGCGTTTAGCTCGTGTTTTCGGCGTTACCACCCTGTCTCTGAAGAAAACATTTAAATTTCAGCCAACCGATAGCACAACATCTGAACACTGTTGTGCGCCTTTGTTGTGTGTCTTTATTTAATTTGTTGTGTGTCTTTACTTTGTTAAAGAAAATTAAGTTATCTGTGACAAAGCACTCCAATGAGTGTCATGCCTCGATCGTCCGCTCTTTCCGTGTGCCACGCCCCCTCGCTAACCCTGTGTGGATTCCCCGTGTTTACCAGCTGTTCCTGATTGTTGTCAAATTTGTCATTACTCCATTGTATTTAGTCCGCGTTTCCGTTTCTTTCTCCAGTCCGGTCATTATATTGTAATTCTGCTTTACCGCTCGTCTGTGTTCCTTTTGCTCATTAAACCCCGCATTCCCCCGATCCTAGGTCTCCTCGCCTCTGCTTCCCCGGTCAGCGTTGTAACAGTGAGCCTGCTTCCATGCTGCAATGTGAACATTTGCCATGTTCCTAAAAATTCTGTTTATTGCACAGTGTCTGACCACACAGACCTACAGGCTATTGCCAGATGATCATACTAGACATATCAACTGGACATATTTTGCACTATTACTGATTTTATCGATTACTCAAGAACATTCAATATAATTAATACCAATTTTTTTCGCTATATATATATATATATATAGAACCGAATCAGGCTTAATCAAGATAGGTGATCTATCATTTTAACGATCCCCAATTAAATTAACCCCGTGGACCGGACAAATACAAAACGAATGATTAAACATCTTTTTGTATGTTTTCTAAATAAGACCGTGTGCCCATACCCACCTGTAATAGCGATTAAAGCGCTCTATTCTTTTAGCATTTATGTTAAGGCAAGACTTTTATTTTATTACTGTTCTGGGATTAATAATGTTTAATAACTTTAATAATGTGCTTTAAGTCAAGTCAAATTCAGTTTATGCATGATTACATGATATAACTTTTTTAATACTGTATCCTAAATTGTGGATAATTAAGCTATATATCATATGCTGAAGTACATTTCTGGAGTGTTAAAGATTAAAAGAAAAAATAAGAACCGTACAGAACCGAAAACCGTGACCCTAAAACCGTGATACAAACCGAACCGTGGGTTTTGTGAACCGTGCCACCCCTAGGCCACACTGTCCCAGGCCAAGCAGCCCCTCCGTTCTGTTTCGGTTACAAAACAAAATGCCCCCCAAGAGCCGGAGGGAAAAGGTTGCGAGTTTCACACCATTGTTCCCAGGAAGCTACCCCCAGCCCCCCCCCTACTAGGGGGTGCACCTGAAGGCACTGGTGCGGTGAGAGCACTTCCTGTCACCATGAGAGCCCAAGAGCACCACTTACTGTGACTCAAGGGATAGGATACCCCCCCGCCCCCATCATCTGACATACTACCCTGCCCTGTGGTGTAACAGGTGGAGAATCCCTGCTGTCATACCCAAACCCTCAAGTCCCATTCACCCCCACTGGCCTGTCAAAGAAATAGGGAATTTAAAAACCAGCCTCTCTTTCAAACATCACTCATCTTTTCCGGCTCAATCCGGTTCGATCTGCCGGGTTGCCATGTCACCCCGCCTGAAAAGCGAAACCCAGCGAGGGCCTTCCACTGGTAAACCACAAGGGCGCTTTAAAAAGAAAGAGAAAAAGCACCTCCTGCTTCAGCGCCGATAGCATGAGCATGACAGAGCAGGCTGTGAAGCCGCAAGCAGGGAGAGAGCAGCAAGCCGGCGCTGCTCCTTAATGGCACTCGACAGTGTGAAAGTCGACAAGCCCGCTTCGATTACACAAATGTGGACGTGAGGTAAATCCCCCCCCCATGTTATTCTATCACATGACGCTCCTTGACTCTTTGACCTGATGAGTCTGCTCCTTCTCTTCACAAGTTGCCGTCCATCTGCCATTGATATTGGTGAGGGCAGCTTCCGAGGTGGTCACATGACCGAAGACTGCACCCCCCCCCCCTCACACACACCACCACAGTTAATATCACATTGACCCCCGTGGGACAGAAGGCAACTACAGGACAGTGCAGCGTGGAGGAATTTTGTGTAAAAAAAGTAAAAAAAAAAAAAAAATGCAGGAGTCAGCAGCTGGCGTCCAAAGCCGGCTTTACTGGCCGTGTCGGGTTAACGGTCGCACCTTCGAGCGCGCGCAGAACCACGGTGCACATCGCAAACGCACCTTCGAGCGCGCGCACAATCACGGTGCACATCGCAAACGCACCTTCGAGCGCGCGCAGAATCACGGTGCACATCGCAAACGCAAAGTTTCCGTTTCCCCGGTCCTCGTTCACACTTTCCCATCATGTAGAAAAACAATACAAAGTATTTTCTATATTGGAGG